GAGATGGGTTTACTTTTGTTGTTTTTGATCTATGTGTTATTCATCTATGGATTGTCATCTTTTTTTTTTTTCCTATTTCAAAATCTACGTATATTACACATGATGCTTATTTTGTTCAACTCTTGCCATTATCAGATAATTTTTAAGATGGTGGAGGAAAATCCTAGAGATGTTGGCCATGATATGGATGGTTTAAGCATTGTATATGGGGATGAATCTTTGGCCCGCCTGTATGAAAATTCTCGGATTTCATCTGATCAGCTACCTGCACAACAAGGTATAAATTTTTCCCACGCTCCAATTCATATCTTATTTTCTCTTAAAGATGTCTTGATGTTATTTTCTTATATTGTCAGGAATTGTCAAGAGGGCTGTGGCTCTTGGGCGTAATCTTCAAAATCCATTGGCAATGGTTGCCACACTTTGTGGACCAGGAAGAGAAATCTTATCTTGGAAACTCAATCCTTTTGAGAACTTTCTCACTCCAGATGAGAAGTATGTGATGGTTGAACAGGTCATGGTAGATGTCACGAACCAGGTAGGCCTTGATATCAATTTGGCTATAAGCCATGAATGGTTATTTGCACCTTTGCAATTCATTTCTGGGCTTGGACCTAGAAAGGCGGCATCTTTGCAGAGATCATTGGTAAGATCTGGTGCAATATTTACTCGAAAGGATTTGGTGAACCCACACGGGCTTGGTAGAAAGGTATTTGTTAATGCATCCGGTTTCTTACGTGTTCGGCGGAGTGGATTGGCTGCTAGCAGCAGCCAATATATTGATCTGTTGGATGATACGAGAATTCATCCAGAATACTATATAATTGCGCAAGACTTGGCCAAAGATGTTTATGATGTGGATGGTAACAACGATGATGAGGATTTGGAGATGGCTATAGAACACGTCCGGGATCGACCTAGTTATCTAAAAAACCTTGATGTTGAAGCTTATGCTAAAAGTAAAAAGCTTGAGAATAAGATACAAACATTTTATGATATAAGGAGAGAATTAATACAGGGTTTTCAGGATTTGCGTAAACAATATGAAGAACCAAGCCAGGATGAAGAATTCTATATGATTTCAGGTGAAACCGAGGATACCCTTGCTGAAGGTAGAATTGTACAGGCTACAGTTCGCAGGGTGCAAGGTCAGAGGGCAATCTGTGCTCTTGAATCTGGATTAACTGGCATGCTTATGAAAGAAGATTATTCAGATGATTCAAGAGATATGGAATTGTCTGACAGACTGAATGAGGGCGACATTCTCACTTGCAAGATCAAATCCATTCAAAAGAATAGGTATCAAGTTTTCCTAAGTTGTAGAGAGAGTGAGATGAGAAATAACCGTTATCAGAACACTCAGAATCTTGATACCTATTACCATGAAGACCGAAGAAGCCTACAGAGTGAGCAAGATAAAGCTCATAAGGAGAAAGAGCTTGCAAAGAAGCATTTCAAGCCAAGGATGATTGTTCATCCTCGCTTCCAAAATATAACTGCAGATGAAGCAATGAAGGTATGCTGTTAAGAATGCTTTTTATTTTTTTGATATCTGATGTTTATATTTATGTGTTAGGTTGATTTGAATTTTTTAACTGTAATTGGTTGTTAGTCATATTAACTAATGCAAAATCATGTTATATTATGTGTTCTATGTGCCTTTGTGTTATACTATGCATCAACATGTAAGCCTCTGGGAGTTAAAGGAGGTTTAACCAAATTTGAATATTAAGATTTTTATATTTACTTAGTATTCGTAGTGGATCAGTTGGTCTTTGAATTATGTACTGTTCATTTACATGGTATTCCCAGAACCATTCACCTTATAAAATGGTGTCATTTGTAATGTTTAACAGTTCTTGTCTGATAAGGATCCTGGGGAAAGTATCATTCGTCCCAGTTCCCGCGGGCCTTCGTATTTAACCTTGACTCTCAAGGTTTATGATGGAGTATATGCTCACAAAGACATTGTTGAAGGTGGAAAGGATCATAAGGATATCACGAGCTTACTCCGCATTGGGAAGACTTTGAAAATTGGGGAGGACACTTTTGAGGATTTGGATGAGGTCAGTATTTTTTGTCAGAAAGTAGGATATATTTGTTGTCTTACTTTTCTCTCACTTTACTACTAATGGAGGTTAATTGTTTTCTTCTAAATTTCGTTAACTAATGAAATTGCCTTTTATACAATATGTAATGCTTGAATCGTTAATGGTTACGAGTTTGGGACAGAAATCACAAATTTTGTGCTATATTGCATCATGAAATGTTGTTTCAGATATTGAACTAGCTCAATATAATCTTAACAAAGGGTTCTTAGAAATATTTGAACTTTTATCCGTGTCTTGTTCTGAGACAAAATTTTTTATCACATGCTTGTTCTGTCTAGATAAAGGTGGTGTGTCCTGATGTTGAGGAATAGAAATGTAATGGCACACTACGGAAGTGAGTACAGAACAGAATACTGATGTGCATGTTGACCAACTTAAATGCAGGTAATGGATCGTTATGTTGATCCCTTGGTAGCTCACTTGAAGGCAATCCTAAATTATCGCAAGTTCAGGAAGGGAACAAAACAAGAAGTCGACGAACTTTTGAAGATTGAGAAATTGGAGTATCCTATGAGGATAGTTTATTCTTTTGGGATATCGCATGAACATCCAGGCACTTTCATCCTGACCTATATACGGAGTACAAATCCACACCATGAGTATGTTGGTCTATATCCAAAGGGATTCAAATTCAGAAAAAGGATGTTTGAAGACATTGATCGGCTTTTAGCATATTTTCAGCGCCATATTGATGACCCTCAGCATGAGTCAGGACCATCTATTAGATCAGTCGCTGCTATGGTGCCGATGCGAAGCCCTGCAGCTGGGGGTTCTTCAGGGGCATCTGTGGGCAGTGGCTGGGGTGGATCAACTAATGAGGGTGGTTGGAGAGGCCAGTCTTTTGATGGGGATCGGTCATCTACACCGAGTTCACGAACAGGTGATGTCGACTTAAAGAAATCGCCTATGGATTTTCAACTTCTATGTTTGATGAACATCAAAATTTGCTTGGTTGCATGGGTTTAACTGTTTTCTAGATTTCACTTGAGTGCTGCTAAGATCTACCTTATATAGTTTTTAGCATATAAACAAATCCCTGTTTCTTTTACTGTGACGCAAGCTGGCTGGAAGCTGATCTAGAGCTTTCGAAGTCTTTCCTGGCGGGGATGCTTTTGACTTTTGGAACCTCTGATGGATTAATTATCTTCGAAAAATAGGAAACACGTTATAAACACTGGAATCTGGGCCACATACAATGTGTGCTATTAAATTTGCCTCTAGTTTTCTTGTGAATTATAGTTGCCATTTTTCCTGGCAGTTTAGGCGTCTGTAAGCCCTTTGAGTAGAATTGCAATACTAAATAAAGAATTAAAAGCTACTAATTTAATTGGTCTTCATGTTTCCACACATACCATGAACAATTTGACTGGAACGTTCATTCTACTCTTGTAATGGGGACTACCCTTAACAGAGGCTTATTTCTGCATGATATGGCCGGCTGGGTGGAAAACTTGGACACATGTTCATTGTTCTCTGCCATATATGAAAATGGCTAGGATTTTTTTAGTTCTCATCTTCAGTCAGCTGATTGCTTTGTGTGTTTTGTTTTACTATTGTACTCACTTCGATGGAATTTTGATGGCGTGTTTGGTTCTGTTGTATGTCTCTTTGATGTAGTACAAATACGCACTGGTCATGTTGGTCTTGTTTTATCCTTTCTTTAGTGACACCAAACTCATAGAATTCATCGCTTAATACTTCTTGTCCCATCTGATTCTTGCTTCCTTTGTCAAGAGACTTGCGATTTTCTATTGACTTATTTTTAATGTTTTAACTTGACAGGTCGAAGTGATCATAGAAATGGTGGTAGTCGGGATGGGCATCCAAGCGGCCTACCTAGACCATATGGTGGTCGTGGTCGTGGTCGAGGAGCATATAACAACAGAGGAAATAGCACTGGCAATGAGAGGCAGGATTCTGGTTATGATGCTCCTGCGTGGGGTTCAGATTCCAAGGATGGGGATGATGGTTTGGGCAATTTTCCAGGTGCAAAGATCCAGAACTCACCTGGAAGGGAAGCTTTCCCTGGTGGTTGGGGTGCTGGTGGAAGTGGGAGTGGAGGTGGTGGCAGTAGCTGGGGCGGTGGAGCTGGCTCCAGTGGAAATGATGCATGGGGCGGTGCTGCTGATAATGGGACTTCAGGATGGGGTTCGGACGCCAAGAAAAAAGGTTCCGGTGATGGAGATTCGGGATGGGGTTCCGAACCGAAAAAAAGTACACAATCTCAATCTGGAAACAGATGGTCTGGAACTGACGGCGGTGGCGGTTGGTGAAGGGGACAACTATATTTTGTAATTGCCACTAGTAACAGTTTACAACTACCGGCTGCTGTGCTGATGGATGGTTTAAGCAGCTGCTGTATGTTGCTGAAGCCCCATGACCTTTCTCCTGACTTGTTTCGGCCTTTGGTAGGGTCAGTTTTAGCGTTATGCAAACTATATTAAGAAGTTTCTGCTGCGGCAAACAATTGTAACGGATATAACTATGCTCTGCTGCCTTGTACCTTTCTCTATTATTATTAGTATATTATCATTATTGTTATTATTATTATTACTACCACCACTACTAGATGAAGCACACGCTTATGTGTGTGTAAATATAATAAATAAATAAACGCATGGAAGAGAAATATGAGATAAACCCTTGAGAGTGTGTAAGAGGTTCGACTTTTTATTTTTTAAAGTTTAAAATTAGAGACTGATGACTTCTAAGGTAAGAGAAGAATAAAATATAGCAAAATGATATTACTGCTCATGATTTTACTTTGTGAAAGAAGACCAAATCATTTTTTTGTTGTTTAGATTACTGGGTGAAGCATATATACTGCGTAAATATAAAATTTTAAAATGAGAAAAATGTTATATGTGTTTTAAAACGAAAAAAATGTTATATGTGTTGTAAAATCAACAGTGTGTGCAGTGGAATAAATAAACAAGAAATAAAATTTACGAGGTTCCTCTACAATCAATGTGACTGGAGTTCATCCTCGGGGCAACAGCAGTGTTTTTATTATAATATGTGTTGATGCACAAAATCAATGTTGATGCATAAAATCAGCGAGGACTTTGGTACAACAGAAAATGTTAAGTTTGTGACCTTCGCTAGATTGCTCCGATCATTAGTGTGGATAAGTATGTAAATGGATAGAGACAGGGAAGTAAACACAAGATGTACGTGGTTCACCCATATTGGCTACGTCCACAGAGTAGAGGAGTTCTCATTAATTGTGAAGGGTTTACACAAGTACATAAGTTCAAGCTCTCTTTTAGTGAGTACTAGTGAATGATTTAGTACCAGAAATATTATGGGAGAATGATCTCCTTTTATAGAAGAGAGTTTCTAGTTTGTTCTGACATTGACACGTGTCGTGTTGTGATTGGCTTCCGATGTTGACACGTGTCGCGCTATGATTGACTTCTGATGTCGACACTTGTCGCGCTGTGATTAGCCTCCTGGTTGGAGGGAAACTCTTCTAGGTCCTTGACGATATAACGTTGACCAGTACTTGATAGTTTTGGGATTGGTCAAATATGGTACAAACAGTGCTCCCCTAAGTTCCCGAGTGAGGGAAACTCCTCGGTTGGGGACTTGCAAGATCCAAGCTATTGAGTAATCATGAAACTTCTAAGTACCGAAGTGTGGTATCATTTTCACTTGCCTTATATGTCTCATATGTAGATGTGACATCTTCTCTGGAAGTACTTTTCCTCTATCCAGGGATGATATCTTTAATCGATGAAGATGTACAAGGTAATGTATCAATTTCACTTGAAGCTTACTTGTAGTTTCGGGCTTGGTCAAGTGCAATACAAACCCTATAGTAGGAGTCCCCCAAGTCACCAAGCTAGGAGATTTGCCGAAGGAGGTAACAGACAAGGTAAGCAATCAAACTTCCAAGCAAGCAACTTGGATTGGAGGTTTGACTTCGGCTTCCGGTTGATTGTTCCCATTCTTCTTGTGTCGTAAACAGCAACAAGGATAAGAAGAAACAAATGGAGAAGAGATGATATGAGATACTTTTGCTTTTGAAGAAGTAACTTTCCACAGGCTTATTCTTGAACTGGGCTGGAGGGTTTTTTGGTTTCCTCCAGAGTATAAGGCCGACTCAAGAATTTGAGGGTCAAAACAAGTTCATCAAATCTAGAGTACATTCAACCCTGATGATATGAGATACTTTTGCTGTTGACAAAGTAGTGGATGTATCGGCACGTGTTCTGTTACGCTTGTCTCCACATGCTTCCTTGTATCCTTCTCACTTGCCCTATCTGTTCCTCAGACAGATGTGGTATCTTCTTTGGAAGCATAAGATGTTGAAAATGAGTACTCGAGAGCAATGCCAGGTAAGTAATCAGGCAAGGGGTTCCAGGCAGTCAGTTCTTGACTAGAAGCTTGATTCCAAGTGCTGACTGATTGCTCTCTTTCTCTTTGTCTTACAGGTAAGAACAAGGCCAAAGGAAAAAAAAAGGGAAAAAGCATGATATGGGATACTCTTGCTTTTAACCCTGATGATATAAGATACTCTTGCTATGGTGTGGCTTGTTTGCAAAGGTATTATCGGGATGAAAATAAGCTGAGTATTTCGAGAGACTCTACTGAGAGTGCCCTCTCAGATGTGAAGAAAAGTTAAGCATTTTTTTTATTTGCAGGACTGTCTGGTTGTGGAGGATGGAGGTCGACATATATATGAGTCTCCCTAACAACATGTAGTAGTGCTATTCCTTTACCCTTCTCACTCCCAAAGATAACAGACTGCTTTCCAAACGGTCTGATGAGTTGGCTGTTAAGGATTATCTAGCTCTCATTGTTCAGTGTGCAGGTTATGTGTCTAATATGGCCCAACGCCTATTTGCTCGAACCAGCCAAATTGAATCATTGGCGGCTGAAGTGATAAGTCTCAAACAGGAGATCAGAGGGCTCAAGCATGAGAATAAACAGTTGCACAGGCTCGCACATGACTATGCTACAAACATGAAGAGGAAGCTCGACCAGCTGCAGGAATCTGATGGTCAAATTTTACTTGATCATCAAAGGTTTGTGGGTTTGTTCCAAAGGCATTTATTGTCTTCGTCTTCTGGGGCTGTATCGCATAATGAAGCTCCAAATGATCAACCTTTGGTGCCTCCTCCTTCTGAGGTTCTGCCTAGTACTGAGGCTCCGAATAATCACCCTCTGGTGCCTCCACTTTCTAGGGCTCTGCCGACTGCTGAGACTTCTCCTGAGCAACCTTTGTGAAGGCTCCCTCTTGTTTGTTTATTTTGATTCATGTATATGTACATATTTGTAACTTATCGTAGATATCAATAAACAAGCTTTGCTTCATTTCAACGTATTGTGTTAAATACACCAAGGCCTTTTTCACTAAGTTCTTTGAATTTTTCCTTTTGTTGAATCTTGTATGTTGAAGCTTTGTGAGTGAAGCATGTAGGTTGAGGTAGTGCTCCTTTAATTTCTCGAGTGAGGAAAACTTCTCGGTTGGAGACTTGAAAAAATCCAAGTCACTAAGTGGTCGTGAGACTTCCTAGTATCAAGGTGTAGTAGCATATGGTAGGAGTCGCCCAAGTCTCCGGTTGAGGGAGTTGACGAATGAGGTGTCTTGCTAGTAGCCAAGTTTCCAAAGTAACAAAACTTCACCATTTTCCTTTCTAAGTGGTAGCCCAAAACTCCTCATTCATATATATTTGTTATGAAAGTTGTTAGGTCCAAAGAAGATGAGGCCTAGGCAATTTGTTTTTTTTGTTTTTATTTTGAATTTTCGAATTTTCGAATTTCTGAATTTTTGAATTTCCGAATTTTAAAATTTTTTGAATTTCCAAAATATATATATATATATATATATATATATATATATATATATATATATATATATTTAAGCTTTATAGGTGAAGCTTTGTACGTGAAGCTTTGAGGTTGAAGATTTGTTGGGTACCATTGATTTTGCTTCACACTATCTTGATCAAGATAGTGTGAAGCCTTTGTAGGTGAAGCTTTGTAGCTGAAGCTTTTGTAGGTGAAGCTTTTGTGGTGGGTGAAGCTTTTGTGGTGGGTGAAGCTTTTGTGGTGGGGAAGCTTTTGTGGGTGAAGCTTTGTGGTGGGAGAAACTTTTGTGGGTGACGTTTTTGTTGGTGAAGCTTTTGTAGGTGAAGCTTTTGTGGTGGGTGAAGCTTTTGTTGGCCATATGAACCATCACAACCACCACAACAATCTGCCCAATTCAATTCAGGTACGTCTTTGGATAATGATATGTTTAATAAGTTACTCACCTCTTTGAACCAGGAAGTAGAAAATCGAAACAAAGAGATGCAAAATCAAGCCAAGAAGACGGGTGAATTGGAGAAGCAAATTGGGCAGATTATGGAGTTCATGGCACAAATTCAAGAGCAAAGTGAACTCTCCAACTCAACTATTGAAAATTTGAAGGAAAATTTTGAAATCCATGATGCTATCACTTTGGGAAGTGCTATGGAGGTTGGAGGGGAACCCAAGACATCCAAACCAAGTCAAAACATGAATGAACAGCTGCTGCTTGAAGAAGAGGAGAATAACAAGGCCACGGCAAGGGAAGAACCACCCTTGCCGCAACCCCATATGCCCTCTATGCCGTCCACTACAACCAAGGTAAGCCTAAATTCAATTTGTCCTTATTCCTTGCAGGATCATGCAATCCAAGGAAGAAGAGGGTGGGAAAGGCATCTTTGAAACCTTTCCAAAGAATCAAGAGCAAGAAGTGGATGGGGAATGTCCAGAATTCATCAAAGAAGATACACTTGAGACGAAAATTCCCAAAGAAGTTGGATTTTATGACACGGGAAAAGTCACAACTCTCAAAACACCAAATCTGGCTAAGTCCCATATCCCTGCAACCTTCAAAGATGTGGTGTTCGTAATTGAGTTTGTGTTGGAGCAAGCAAGTAAGCCATCTTCTCCAACTTCGATTTTATTATATACTAACTTGCTGATTTTGATGATTCAGGCACCTACACTAGAATTTAAACCATTGCCGGATCACGTCAAGTATCACCTTCCATTCAAGGATCAATTCCATGCTATGGGCCCTATCCAAGTTTAGAAGGAAGTTTCGTCCGGCTGGAAGACGTTAAAGCAAGCGCTTCTTGGGAGGTAACCCATGTATTCAAATGAGGAAGATTTTTGAATCGCTTCACAATCAATTTTGCGTTTCTAAAAACCTTCCCTTTTCTGCATTTTATTTTGCCATGATTGTCATTTTTATTTGTTGCTTGTTTAATTGTTTTTGGTGTGGGTTTATTTTTGAAACATTGATAGATATGCAAGGTATTTTTACATTCATTTCATGAAAAAAAAGGAACATTAAGCAGAAAATACAAGAGGAAGCCTTCACAAAGGCTGCTTAGGAGAAGTCTCAGTAGTCGGCGGAGCCTCAGCAGTCGGCGGAGCCCCAGAAGGAGGAGGCATCGGAGGTTGATCATTTGGAGCTTCATTACGCGGTACAGCCCCAGAAGACGAAGGCAAATGTTGTTGGAACAAACCCACAAACCTTTGATGATCAAGTAAAATCTAACCATCAGATTTTT